TGATTTTTAATGATCTGACTAGACGTAAGTCTCAACCCTTTGTAATTTAAAGACGATACAGTTTTCCGCTGATTCTTACGAGTTTCGAGTTTCATAATATAAGATTGCGAGAATAATTTAGTATAGTCATTCTGTACTGATGCATGGGCTCTAGTTTACTTTGCGTGTCTTTACTGGGACGACGACACTCACGGCGATTCTTACGTTTCAGCTGTAACTGTTACACGTGATTCTATTATTTTCTTTATTATTTTTATTTTTTACATAAACAACAATAACTACTACTTTTAATGTTTTCTCAATAAATATTAAACTTTCATTGATATTTATTACTTTGGCAACAAAAAAAAAAAAAAATTGAAAATTATTTATGACTTAGAGAAATAAACAATCGGAAGATTGACTTTTAAACAATAAATTAACAAAATCGAAAATTGTCGAAAGGTCATGCGCATAGAATGCTATTTTTTGAACCTATTTCACCCACGGAAACATAATATAAGAAAAAATGACTTGCGTTTTTAGTAGATTTCATAGAAATCTAACTATTGCATTGGTCCTTATGACTCAACTTTTTAAAAATTTTGCTATATTGCTATATTTCGAATTAACTCGACGAATTGAGTCATTAGAAAATGGGCTCGTTCAAGTTTACTAAGCTCTTGGCAGATCTTAGCAGTTCTTGTACCAAAAACTAAAAGTGACTACATTCTCTCTATAAAGACTATCTATAAGAAAACAATGCAAGGCATACTAATCTAAGCTCAGTCCATCTAAGAACAGTAAACTTAAACGAGCCCAATACATATGGTTCAAAAGTTTATTTATATATGTATTTATATATTTATATATATATGGGATAGAACGCGGCTTGTCACGACGATGGTGTCTACAATTCGCAACGGATCTTTACGAAATTCAGTATATTTATTCTACGAATAAATACAGTTTAAATATATGAGCTTAATCGGTCATGTAGTTTTATGTACTTTGAAATTTTCAAAACCCTAAAAATACACTTTTTTACAGTTTATTTATCGAATAACTTTTGAATGCGGCATTAAATTAAATTTCTGTAAAATATAACTGAAAGCCTTTAAATAAGCTTTAACTTTCATATATTGTTGTATATGTCAAATAAAAATTACATTCAAATCTGCTATCTTTTCATGAAATTTGCTGTTCTATTGGTTTTTTTTTCTTGAAATTACTGAAATTTCAAAGTTTTCAATTGATTAAATGTCTTTGAACCTATTATTTTTATTAAAGTATGAAATCAACTCCCACTTCAGCTGCCGAATGGCCTTTTTAAATTTTGTAGCACTTCCGTTATTAAAAAAAAAAGATTTAAAAAGATCAAAACGATTTTAAAAGATTTAAAAAAATTTGAGTTGACTGCTATATATAGATATACAGTTGCCTGGAGTGAATCTTTTTAAATCTTTTTTTTTTTTCAATAAGGGTTAACAAATTCAAAATTATTTGGTAAAAAATGAAAAAAAAAAAATTTTTTTTCCATTAAAGTCATTGGCTTTTCCAATGAAAGTCATCAAAATATCAATCAATAAACAGTTTTATATCTTTTATCAAAAATTAATCACTTTTCTATTATAAATAAATTCTAATCTACATTCAAACTAATCAACTTATACCATCATACAAAAAAAAATTGATAATTCACCTGTATCATGATGACATTAACGAATCATTTAATGAAGCTTAATCAAACAAATAATTCATAATAAGATTCTCATTAAAAAATCTCAAAGATTTTAATTTCACAAAAATTTGCAATAATTTACCTACAAAGAAAAAAATTTCTTACAAATTAACGATCAAGGTAACAAATTTCATATAAAATAATCCAATCAATGTAAGTCAATATCACCAAAGTGCCAATACAATAAAAGAGATAAAAAAGGTTATTGTAAATTCTTCCATCTGTCAATGACTTATTTTCCTGGTTGAGTACGAGACGTTATCACAATCCCGTCAATTGATAACGTACAAACACGCGAAATATTTATTTCTTTCTTGAAAGTTTTTTCTTATTAATAATGATATCAAAATTGCGACAACTGATACAATAAATTCCACCCAATAATTCAAAAATTTTATTACTTCATTATTATTATTAATAATAATCGTCATCATCATCATAATAATAAATGTGAATACTTATATTAAGAGTGAAAAAAAATTGAAGGAAAGTTATTTTGAAAAATAAAAAAAAAAAATATTTTTAAGCGTAATTTATCAAAATGGTAGTACAAATTAACATTTAAAGCCCTCTGTGTTAAACAATGTTCAAAAGTCTACTACAGTCTCGGAACACTACCACTATGCGTGTCTATTATATTACTTAACTTGAATTTTACACGACACACTACAACCACAACTATTTACTCAATGATTTTTCGACAAATTACAGTAACTATACATTGAACGAGTAGTACATATTTGAGATTCTAATCTAATGTGATAAGAAGCGCAGTAATTGGCTCTACTCCAAGCAGTACACGTAGCTCGGTTGGACGGTTAACTTGTACTTGTCTAACAGGATACATATAATTATTATTAATTATAAAATAAAAATTTTTAAGTGTTGAGTTTTGTTGAAGTTACACAAAAAATAAATTGCTAAGTGGCCGACTGTAATGAAAAAAATTTATAGAAGTTTTATTTTCTCAACCAAAAGATTCAGCGGATCAAGGCTGGCAGGAATCGGACGAACGGAACTGAGGCTGCCGCAGGTTAATCCTGTAGGAAGGACATCCTCATTTGAACCTTGTTTCTGGGATAATTGTCAACGCCATCTCCGGTAAACTTTTACTTTCATTTTTATTATTTATCGATTATTTTTCGAAACATATGTCCAAGAAATATTTTACAAGTCTATTAAAATTTATATTAGTATATATAATACTTATAAGGATGTAACAAAATAGAAGAGTGGAGTTAGGTACCGGTAACCACGTGGTTTTTATTTAGAATAGACTGGTTACCGTATTTATTTTTATTTCAGTTAAAACTTTTTTTTTTATTCGAAAAATTATTGATTTTTTTAATCAAAATCATCTTCAGGATATTTATTTTCGACTCGATAGTTTCTTCTTAATTTTTGCGGAAGATTTAAGGGAAAAAAATATAAAAATGTACACAGAAAGAAAATTTTTTTGACTGGAGAACATAATTCTTGGCTCAAGAAAATTTTCGGGTGCCTGAAGGAAGATCGAAATTGTGTTGGCCGAAGTAAAAATTTTTTTTGAAATTCTACTCTTGATAGAAGTAATTTTTTCTCAATTCAAATTATCATAAATATTTGATACAATAAATTTTTATATTTGATCAAGATTTTTAGATACTTTAGGGAAGCAACGCCACCTACTTCAGCTGAGAAAAAAATTTTCTCACCTTGAGAAAATTTTTCTCTTGAAAATTTGATACCAACTTGATATTATTTTAGCGTGCAATTATACATATTGAATGAAAAAAAAAATGATGAAATATTATTTGATCTTTCCATTTGACATGTTAATCAATAAAAATATTAATGAAAATTTACTTCTATCTTAATATTTAATTTTTTGGAGCAAGAGAGAAATTTTCTCAAGATATGAAAATTTACTTCTATCAAGAACTACATTTTTTGGAGCAAGAGGCTGAATTTTCTCAAAACAACAAGATTTTCTTGACTTAAATAAATTTTCTTGGATCAAGATTCGTATTTCTTAAAGCAAGAGAATTAATTTTGTTGGAATAACTGAAATTTCTTGAGTCAAAAAAATTTTTTTTTTTCGCTCAAGAAAATAATAAGGAAGAAAAATATTTTCTTGGCTCAAGTGAACTTCTTTTTCAGTGTATTAAAGTTTAGAGATTACTCCACAATATATAGAACCGATCTTAAAAAATTCCCTCCAGCGATAATTATTTTTACATAAAATCTTTAGTTGTCTTTTTTTTTTAATTTTTAAAAATAAATTTGTATACATTTGAACGAGATGTAAGAAAAAATGTCTTTAATCTCCGGCATTTTTTTATTTTAGCTTCCGCAGACTGTCGGCGATTGGAAGATCAGACACTAGATTCCCTCAAGTAGATCCTGGTATAATTAATTTCCGTACATACCGGCTAAGGTAATTGCATTAATTATTATTATTTTTATAAAAATTTATATTGCGTTAAATTATTCAATGTAAATTTGTAAATGAACTTTAATTTATAATATTTATGCCAACTGCTTGTAGTTCAAAACTAACCAAAAAATCTTTTCATTTGAAAGTTTTTTAATTAATAGTTGACTAAAAAATTTTCTAACATGCATAATTTACTTAGTTTTTTTTTCCGGTATTGTTACATGTTTTATTACTTCTAGTAGCAAGTAAAAAATTTGACGGCTTTTCTCTTTGTCTACATAAATTGAATTTCTTATCAATTTAGAGTGTAAACTTTCTTATAAGGAAAATTTTTAAAAATCTAAGAAATATCAGTTACTTTATTTTAATAATGAGACAGCCGTCAGACTTGGGTTTTCCAATTTCTTTTATCTTCTGTAAACTAATAAGCGTTAATTTAAACTTTTGGATTTCCCAAACTAATTATTATTATTATTATTATTATTATTATTATTATTATTATTATTATAACTTTATTAATAAATATCAAGTAAAAAATGATAATTAACTTTACTTAACATATTAAAATTAATTCTGAGTAATGAAATAAATTAAACTCAACTTAATATTATGAAACAAAAATAAGTAAAATATTTTAATGGAGAAATTATTCTGACAGGAATATTATGATAAAATATTGTTTCAAATGAACTATCATTAATATTTTTGATAAAATAATAATAATAAGAAGAAGAAGAAGAAGAAGAAGAAGAAGAAGAAGAAGAAGAAGAAGAAAAAGAAGAAGAAGAAGAAGAAGAAGAAAAAGAAGAAGAAGAAGAAGAAAAAGAAGAAAATAAAACAACATAAAAATATTATGGATTTACAATGAATAATTTATTATTATTTTTTTCAAAAAAAAAATGTAAACTCAAAAGAAATGGTAAAAAACTAATAACAAAACTCTTTACAGACATGGTCGGGGTTCCGAACTCGACTACCGACCCTAAATTGGTCGAAATCACGAAACCGGAAGACGATGGACAAATGAAAAAAATTGAACACGTTGTCAACGAAATCGACAACGTGTCTCCATTGAAAAATACAATAATAATACCGCGAATAATAATGTCATCTGAGAAAGATGGTGGCGATGGTTTTGTACTAGCTTTCAGCGATAACGATAACGATGGACAGAAGAAATTAGAACGCCCGGTGGATCGAATCAAGCCGGTACACGATTTGATCGAGAAGTTACCAGGTAGAATAATGAAACTAATTATCTTTATTATTATCTGTAATAATAATAAATTAATTTAATTTAATTTATTTACACTTGGCCGAGATAAACCCCGGAGCTATAAAAATCATTTTATCTATCACTGTTCTATTCACGATAAATTTAATTACTAGTTTGAACAGATGTAAAGTAGTTTATATTTTACGAGACGATTCATTTATGAATTAAAAATTTTTATCTTTGTAAAATTATAATTTACCGCAGATTAATCAGTGAGCGATCAATCGACCAAAGTTTCAAATGGTAAAAATTTATGAGTTAATAAAAAACAATAACAATTTAATTAATATTCACGATAATCCACTCGAATAATAAATTTTAGACGTGTCTTATTTGCTTTTTTATTTTAATTTATTTTTTTTTTTAATAAATTGATAACCCCTAAATCAGGCGAGAAATAAAGTCTTAATGAAAAATTAATCATTGAGTTATACTCGATAGAGTCGATAGGTCACACGTTTTTTTTATTAAACTCCGTTTACTTGTTTGTTTATTTATTTATATTTTATAAAATATACGCTTTAATTTTCAAAAGTTGTGAATGATGAGTGAAATGACGATTAATACTCCGCTTCTAGGCGACGAATCTCTGTCCAGTGGTAGTTCAATAGTAACTATCTCATCAGCAGATAATTCAGATCCTGATCCTGAGGCCCCCAATGACGACGACCCAAAGAGAAAACCACGTGATATTTTAAATGAAAGGTGGCAGCATACGGCATTGCAAGTGTCAGTGCCATTCTTCATCGCTGGAATCGGAACTATCGGCGCGGGTTTAGTTCTCGATAAAGTTCAAGTAAGTTTTTATCCTCAATAAATTAATAGATAAATAAATTGTTTAATTTAAAATTATTAAAATGTCTTTTTATCTTCTCGAGAAATATTCATCGCAATTTTATCGCTGGAATTTAATTTTTACATCCTAACAAATATTAGCTTATCAATTTATCATCACTGAGGATTATCGTATCTTAAAAATTGATAATTATTTCATATTATAGAGTTATCGGACTTACATCTTGATTAATGCGTTTTTTATTCTGTAAAGTTATTTTTTTTTTTATTCATTTTTATTAAATATACATTTAGTGATAACTGACAACAAATTATTTACTGACTCTAACCACACATCATTTAATTTAAACGAAATTTCTTCAAGAAAAATTTTTAATATTACTTAAAAAAAAAAAAAAAAAAAAAAAAAAAAAAATGATTGAAGCAGACGTAAAAATGTAAAAATTTGAAAAAAATCTATGCAATTTCAAAAATTTTTTTACAAACATTGAATTTGAAAAAATTAGTTAGAGTAAATGCACCAATTATTGACCGATTAAGGTTTTCTTTTTCTGTACTAAGCTATAAAAAATCTATTAACCTACTAAAAACAATTTGTAACGGATTTTATTAAAGTTAAATACTTAATTAATAATAATTAATAACTATTTATAATAAAAAGTAACAAAATTATATTAATTTTGTTATTTGAATCTTGAAATACTAAAATCACCAATTATTGACCGAAGAAACCCAATAAATAACCGACCGTTCTCCAATTAATTGACCGCTGAAATAATTATAAGTAACTAGCTGTTACCCACCCGCTCCGCTGGGTGCTTTAAAGAATTATATTTTTAGATCTAGACTTGATATTTAATTAAAGTATTGTTTTGACTTCCAGAGATTCCAAATTCCATCGAATTGGCCTGTACCTTTTATCCATGTAATTATTCTAGCTAATATTCAATGTAACTTTCAATGAGCAATCATTATAACATTTCCGTGACTTTCTTACAAAAATAAATAATAATTGACACGAAGAAAAAAATTTGAAATGAGCATTGAAAGTTTCAGTCAAAGTAGTTGCAGGTCTCATAAGTGAAGTTAAAATCTGCCTAGCTTAAAGTGCGACGAATTTTACTGTTAATTAAAATTTTCTGCGTGGCGTCAATTTTTTTTACATAAAATTTTGTATAGAAAATTAATTGTACATGATCTTTGCGAATTCTTATTAAAATAAGTAGCTAAATTTCTATTTCACATATCAAGTGTTTGAAAAATGCATTCATTTTAATTTGTCATTTTTCCGCAATCCCGTAATAAGAACAATTAATTGGTTATGTGATCAGCAAAAATAACATAAATATAAAATTCTTAGTCCGTTGACTGAATAACTACATGTAATGTTAAGTTTTGTAAACCTTACAATGACTTTTTCCCCGCTGCCAAAGAAACGATTGTTGTAAGGAAATTTTTATGAAATGTTATTGAAGTTAATCGATATGTCCTAAATTTCATGTCTCAAGACGTCCTAGTTAATAAACAAAAACATTTTTTTATATTTGACTCACCACTCTGGCACAGCCTATATATGAAGTCAATTATCACAAAATTCGTTTTTAGTTGAAATCTAATCATTGAGAAAAAAAAGATATTTAAATCGGTTGACCTTGGAGACCAACCCTCTAATTTTCTGTTTCTCTTGAGATTCTTTCAAATTTTATATCTGAATCGTTGATTTGAGAAACTCCATAAGTCATATGAAAATCCCATATGACTTATGGGTTTTCTCAAGTAAACGATTCATCTGTAGAAACTGTATTTGAAAAATATGAATTTTTTGACAATTAATACCCCCGCACTCTTATGTGGGGGAGGAATTTCGTAAGATTCGAGATGATTTCTACTTTATAAATAAAAGATTCCTACTAAACTTCGAGTCCATAGAAACTGATGTTTGGAAATGATAGGTTTTCATTGCTAACGCCCCCACAATCCCTTTTGGAGCTAGAATTTGATAAAATCCATTCTCAGCTGAACTTAACATCATACACGAAGATTTCTACCAAATTTGGAGTCTGTAGAAGTTACAGTTTAGAAACAGAAATTTAACATTTTAACATCCACCCCCGCAATCCTTATTGAGGGTGGGTT